TAAAGAGTGTAAGATGATCTCCCATTAAGGATGAAAACAAACCAGTGAGTGGGAGGTGTCCCCCGAGGAAATCCATAGTCGCTATAGTGGAACCATGGAACCATGGGAACTGGTTAGCAGAGGCCTGCGGGCCAGCCACGGCCAGACACGGGGGTGTGTAATGCTACCACACAAACACACACACACACACACACACAGAGAGTGCAGTTTGGACAGAAAAACCAAAGCATTGGCTTTTAGTCACTTCACCTGTCTAACCATAACAATATATTATACTTTGTTGGTTGTCAGCAGTATCTTGATTTATTCAGCGTGGGCTTTGATGACCTTAATGACGATGTTTACGATCAAAGTGCCAAAATAGCAACAACAATAAAACTGATTGTTTCGGAAAGAGTGATGATATAAGAAAGATGACGACAGACACATTTTTGTGACACTTGAGAGGATGAGGGAAAAGATGTTTTTAATGTTGTCGCTCTGTCTAACAGTTTATGGGTTAGCGGAGGCTGTAGGTCTGTGGTGCTTCAGTGGTTTTCACAGGTTTCTTTACAGCCACATGAGCGCTTACTGGTGAAATGTTATCTAGATTGGTGGTCCGATCTCAGTGACATTTACTCTTTCAACGGAGAGAGAGTTAGAAATGAGTAACAAACAAGTGGCATACATTTATCTTTATTTGCTGCTTCCAAAGTAAAGAAAGGAAGGGATGATGCAAGCCTTTAATGACCAGTCATGTTCCCACGTGATCCAAAACAGACTTGAGCAATCATCCTCATTTCACTCACTACGTGCGTACATGGATGAAAAAAGTAAGGGAGATAGAAAGATAGAAAGTGTGTATGTGAACCGGCAATTTAGCGTGTTCCCCTGCTTGAGCAGGAAGTGAACAGAGACCTGGTCCACAGGGATCCCTGTTTCCCCTTCTTGCACCCCTACCCCTCCACTCAGGACCCCACCGTGATGGGGGGGGGGGGGGCCTGGCAGAGAGCTACAGTGTGTGGTGTTTGTCCTTTTTGTGTGTGTGTGTGTGCGCGCATGTCAATTTCCTGTTTTATAGAGGAAGCAGTGTTCGCATGTACAGATCGTTATTCAGATTTTCTCTGTGAGGGGAAAAAAAGAAGAGAAGAAAAAAAAAGTGTGTCAATTCTCATGAATCTGTATGGGAAACAACTAGCATTGTTTCTGGGAAGATGCCCTGCTCTCTTAGTAAAACCATGTTTTGCTTCACTGGTAATGTGGAAATGCAGTGTTTAAATCAAACTTTAAAAAGGCATGTCATTTCATTATTTCCAGTCAACGAACAATTCTAAAACACTACCAGCTATCATCCCCTCATATCAAATGTTGTACTTTTTTTTCTGCAACTAACTAATCAAATTAAGACCAGATTGGTTGGACACACAAAGCTGTGGTCATTATGCAATGTCAAGAATCTAAAGGGCATCTAAATGAAGGTTAGCTGTGGTCTCAGCCAGAATGCCCTCCAACCATGGTCTGGGCCACAGGTCCACCATACAGTCGCCTACTGGGTTTCTGCACATAAATGTATAAAGGCCTTTTTGTAGTTGTGACTAATTTACATGACTTAGTTCAGCAGAAGATTGTTTAGAGAGTTTCCCTTTACTTATCTGCACTTTAAAGATGCTTCTTTGTATGACCACCACATAGTCAGTCAGGGTGTCTTGTGAAATACTTGGTATCGCAGGTGCAAAAAATAAAAGGAAAATAAATACATAGTACAAGCTACATAATCTGAACATTTGAAATAACAGTTGAAATAATTTCCAAAGTAGGGGGATGGAAAAATAAGAAATTATATTTCACTTCCAGTAGATGTGTTTTTGATCAAATATTATATTTTGATGCTAATTAATAAATGTTCCTTACAGAAAGACATTAATTGAAATAGGGAAAGGTGCACTGGAGATAAATGTAAACATCTTGCTTCCTTTTGAGACACTTTCACCCTTTTCAGTATAAACTTGATATTTAGGTTTAAAAAGGTTTATTTGTTTTGTTTTCATATTTCATAGATTCTTAATTTTATCATTTAATCTGTCGACTATGATTAGAAAATTTATTGTTTAGGGTAAAACGACAAATCCTAACAACTGAGAAGCTGGAACCAGAGAATGTGAAAAATGATCTTGCAGTGCTATTGGGACACCCCCCCCCCCCCCCGTTTTCCAGATCATCGCACAGCAACTCTGTCTCACACGCGATGGTGACCTTAGAGTTATGGTGGTAGCGCTCTAGATTGACCTGATAGTGAGACTGTTTCTGCAAGTGCCTCTCGTAAGCTTTCAGTGATCCTCTGGGTCTCAACGGGAACCCAGTCCTAGCCCCGTGGAGAGGTGCTCCACTGTGGGAACTAGGAGCTGCCTGGTGTATCGTAACACAGGGCGGTCTCTGTAGACCCAGGATGGATGAGAAACTACCTTCACTGGGATCCCTCTGAACTAGGAGACCCCTCTCTCTCTCTTTTTCTTCATCACTCCCTCCATATGCCGCTCCTTGTCAGCAAGGCAGCACTAGTCATCAGTGTGAGAACAGTTGCATCACAACTCTCGCGGTTTCTTAGCCCCTGGCCCCTGTGTTTCTCGGTCAATCTGTGGGAACCCTGATTTTTGGACGCCAGCCTCTGTTCCCACCACCAGTCTGGTTAGAAAATAGACTTTTGGTCATGTACCAGGCACCCAAACCGAGCCAGTTCTAGCCCGCTCCTTCTCACGGGTTTGGGGGAGGAGAGGTCAGCAGCTACAGAAGAGGCCCTAATGGGTTTCGTATGCAGGTACCGCAAAAGCGACACGGGATACTGTGCTCATGAGAAATGAGAGGGTTTTAACGATTCAGTGCTCTTTCCAAAACACACCCTCTCTGCACTCCCTTGTTCGTTCTCTCTCTCTCTCTCTCTCTCTCTGTCTGTCTCTCTCTGTCTGTCTGTCTCTGTCTCTCTCTCTCTCTTCTATATCTATATATATATATATTTGAATTTATAAATAGTGCTTTATTCTTTTCATCTTTCAGATTAATTGAAGATAAAGTTGTGTGACGGACAAGGCTCGATTTTGTTACAAGAAAAATCCTAAGACATTGTGCTGTTAATCAGAACAAATAACTGACTTCAGAGTATTTTTATTTTCTTCAATGGTGCTCATTGTTTTAGTGTTTCTGTCCTGTGACGTTCACAATCATGCTTCCAGTCCTCTTTATGTTTCATCCACTTAAAATGCAATTTTCTGTGTCGTCTTGTAAACCAATTCATCGCGCTTGTGCCTACAATTACATCCAGACAAGCAGCCTCCTCCAGGATAACGTTTCCCATCTTTCCTGGAGAGTTACAATTTTCGGAAGAAGAGCAGCATAGCGGGAACAGAGAGGAGATGATTTAAAAAAAGCAGCTCTGTTCATGTACGTCCACGATAAAGACAGAGCCAGATGAGAGCTCCTCTGCTCCCCACATGTGGAAAAGAGAGTCGGGTCTCAGAGTGTGTGAAGACAGCTGGAAAATTCCCTTGAGCCTGGACTAATTGAAAGCTTATCATCTTCCCTTTGTGCTTCCTGAGCGGTGGGGGATAAGTGAGGAGCGATGCAGAGAGCAACTCTGTGATGAGACCTGGAGGAGATAGTTGGGAATGTTTAAGACGGTGCAGATCTGTCATACACTCACACTGTGAAGTGGAGCTCGGTCCGGGTTGAGGGTGGTGTGAGATCTGTCAGCAGGGCTGTGTGTGTGTGTGTGTGTGTGTGTGTGTGTGTGTGTGAGTTCCTTGTGCGTGTGTAGAAATGCTTTGAGTGTGGAGAGTTAATTGAATACAATGTGTGTCAAGGCTGCGTGTGTGCGTCCTGAGGCTTTGTTGTTCTGCCAACACTGCCCCCATAGAAGGCCTGACGCAGACACAGCAGAAGCCATACAGAAGGAAAGAAAGGAAAGAATTGAATGAGAAGAAAGGATGAAAGGGACGAGGAACGAGTATAGATACAGTGGAGAGCATAAACAGGGAAAATAAAAGAGTGAATAATTTGAAGAAGAAAAACAAAGCCTTTAGAAGTGAAAGCCCTTTCATGGTACATCAACAGGTGGCATTAGTTTAAAAGTGAAGAATCATCGGTATTGTATTTCAGGTTAACCACATGAGACATCTGAAATCAGACCACCCCATAAGGTAGCATCTCAAGTGTTTAATCTTATAGCTCGACTTCAAATGGGCCAAACGGATGCCATCAGTGCCGCATAAATTAACAGCCGCATAGCTGGTAAAAAATAATGGCCGACATTCCATACTTCTCCTGTATTGTTTTTAACAAGTGACAACTTGCCAACGTGCGCTAACATGGAGGCTGCCAGGGCGGTGTTGGATTCCTGCGCTACACTTTATTTACCACCATGTACCACCGCGTTGACAGCTGAGGCATTTTCAAACCCATGAGAAGTCCGGGTAATTGCCAGCGAGATGCTCACTAATGGAAGAAAAGAGGATGATTATTAAAGGTGGTTATTGGGGAAAAACTACCAATCAACTGCCAGAGTTATGAGATGGAGGCAGTGGCATGTATGGCATTTATTGAAGAAGTTAGAAGAACAGAATTTGTTGGGTCAGAATGTGCTGGCATGACATTGGGTCCCATAAACATTTTTTTTTTCTGTCATTTGTCAGCTGATGTGATGATTCCTGGAGGTGAATTATGTCCTGTGCCTCCATGTTTAACGTTTTCACTCTCAACACCTCCCCCTTTTTAACCATAACATACCTCACAGTCCAGACTTTTGAGCATTGAATTTCAAAATTAGAGAACTCTTGTGGTATGCAGTTGTTTTCATAGTAAAGCGAATAATGTAGAAGAATGTGGCCATAAATCTTGAACTTAAATCTAATGTGGCTTTAACCTCAAAGAAAAAAGATGTCGTAACTCTCTCTTGGACTTCTTTTAATTCAACTTTTTTTAAAAGTAATTTATGAAATAAACAGCAGTTATGAACACAAAAGTGAGACATGTTTTTTTTGTTGTTTTTTTTTTTTAATTAAAATGATTAAAAACTACATTATCTGCAAACTTTACAAGCACTCAATATGGAAGCATTAACAATATCATTACAGACATAGATGAGATTCTTAAATTAACATATCAGTTTCAGATGTACATGCTTTGAGCAAGAAATGAAAGATGAAGATAAATTGACATTTTGGTATATGAAAAGGAAAAGGGGCATCTCTTTAAAAGAAAACAAAAAGTAACATTGTGCTCTTAATTCCAATATACAATAAAATACAACTCACGTGTACATTTTGGCTTCCTAGTTTTGCATAAAGAATGATAATAGAGATCAGTCAAGTCATGATCCATTTGCCACATCCCATCGTCCTGACAGTATTACAGGCAGTTGTGAAGATCTTTGGTTGTTTTATTTTTAAGGAACCACACAAATATATAAGTACACATGTGGTTTCTCTAGCTGCATGATTTTTGCCCATAATAAAGTAAGGTCTTCTACTATAAAAAGGCTCCAGAGGAGAAAGCAGGGAACATGCTTTCCTTCTAAGTCAAAGGGAGATATGAACGAGGCATTGTTACTGATTGGTTAAAAAAGACGATTAAAGCTAAAGGATCATTATGTGAGATCTACCAAACACCTTGCATAACTTATTTTTACCTGAGCTCCAAATGCAAGTGTTTTTGGATCACAATTCACTATGAAATAAAATTTCACTTTTGTGGCAACTAAATACCCATCTTTCAAAGTCATGCTTCCTTCGTGTGGAGGACTTTTCTAGTACCTGCTGTAAATGCCTCTACACAGCTCATACCCAGGTGATCTTTGCAGGCATTGATGATTAGTAAATTAGACTAGAAAAGACACAATCAGGACCCTAAAGGCTACAAAGCACCCACTGATTATACAGAACAAAGGGACCTGTGCACAACAAGGGAAGGTTTTTGTGCATAACTGCCCTTGGTGTTGGTAAGAAGATACCACTCTGACCCCACGTCCTCCTTCTACCCCTTCATCCTCACTCTTCCTCATCCAGGGATAGAGGGATCACATGTGTAACTGCAGGGGAAAGGCCCTCTGGACACAGGGAATGTGCACACACACCTGTGGTGCAGGAATGTGTGTGTGTGTGTGTGTCTGTGTGTGTCTGTGTGTCTAATCATGAAATCATTGATTACTTGATGAAGGATTTTTTAAAAGGACACACGAAGTGTGTTCATCAAATATATGTGAAGGAATATTTAATATTTAGTTCGGCAGAGTTTCAGATAGTTTTAAATACATAACCAAGAAGGAGAAATGAAAGTTCAAACATAGTGCAAAAATTAAGCGACTGGCTTATTTAGCGCAGAAAGGCAATTTGGAAAAAGATTCACCTAGATACACCGTCTCACTAACAGAATCTGTTGGGTGTGGTTCATAAGGAATAAAAGTTTTTAGTGCATCAAAGCTACATTGGAAGACAAAATAATTACATTAAAGGTTTTGTTTTTTATAATTTAGTAGCAATATATTACACAAATTCCAAATTTATACTTAACAACAAAATATGGTATATATACTGTGTGTGTGTGTATGTGTGTGTATGTATATATATATAGATATATATATATATATATATGTATGGAAAGGTAGAGAGAAATGCTTAAGGATTTTGTGTATATGCGCACATTTCCACACAATTTGGCTCAAATAAATAGAAAAAGTAAACTGGCATCCAGTTCAAAAATACCAGACTAGGACTTTTTTTTCCAGAAAAAGGTTTGAATGAGAAATTTAAGGAAAAGATGAAGAGAAGACACAACAGGATTTAAATATTCGTGCAGGAAAAGAAACCAATAGGACAGGTTGTCTTTTACATCCCTCAAAATATCAGCCATTGTCCTGTTGAAACACGACACTGATGACACAGCAGAGGAGAATTCATTTCTTAAACATGTGAGTCCTGACAGATAAAATGCTTTTCTCTCGAAGATGCAGCGATTGTGTTGAAGCATCCACTGCATACCGTAGCACCGAAGGCTAATGTGTCCAATTGGATAATAAATTAGGCAACAAGGGACTGCATCAGTACTGTGAGCACATAAAACAGCCCTGGATACAACTGAAGATCACAACTGAAACAGTACCTTTGCAAATTTTACAGAAATTAAAGCTTAAAAGGAACGATTGCTACAGCAGTGCAGTCATGCCTGGGGAGGATGTCGGAGTCACTCGAGGGAGCTAACATCCATTCCGACTGCTCTTCTCACCATAGCAAGTGAGTTGAATCAGTCCGAACAGTCTGATACATGTCTGCTGTGGTTTTTCAGTCAACTGTACTGATCAGACCGCCATTGTCTTTTGTCTTTCATGAGTACCTGCTTACACCAGACAAATGATCCTGAAAGGTCACTATGGCTTCTCTGGTGTTACCCCAGGTCTATTTACAGTTTCAGCTGAACGTCATCTCAACTTACATGGCTTTTATAGTCCTTTAAGAGTACATGTTTTAGCACAGTGCAGGAGTTTACTCAAAATTTACAAAATACATGGAAGTCTTGAGAGAGTTGGTAAAACGCAGAAAATCTTTAAAGCGAGTGCTGGAGAAATAAAAAGACAAACATGCAGCATTTCTCTTTTTTTGTTTTTTTCTTTCAGTGTTCATCTTTTTTTGTTCATCATCCTCTTTACATTTCCTGCCTTGCTTCTCCCACACCCTCTGATTGTCTAGCTGTCTGTCAGTCAGTAAGGCCTCCAGACGGACTCATCCAAACGGCCTGAGCTCATTGCAGTGGGGGAGTTGCTGTGGCTGCCGTCGGCCTCCACACCCTCGCTCTGGGTGTTCAGGCCCGGGTTCATCAGGCTGTTGGTCCCTGCGGTGCCCGTGGCCCCCGAGCAGGACAGCAGGCGGGTGGGGGAGCGCTCGCCCCCGGTGTTTCCCGGCGCCACCATGGAGAACTGGTAAGATCCAGAACCTGTGCCGTAATACAGGTAGGAGTTGGACTGGAAATTCTGGGACTGGTTGTTTGAGTAGGGGGGTGGCAGGTAGGTGTGGTATCTAGAAGAGGCTGACATGCTGAGGCCACTGATGCCAGTGCTAGAGGTGTTGGCAGAGTAGGGGAAGGCCCCGGGGTAGTGCATGCGGGGGTCTGAGAAGCGAGGGTCAGTCAGTGGCGACAGAGACGGGAAGCTGGTCCTCTGTTGAAAGAGATCTGAAGTCCCTGTTGGCAGAAACAAAAAAAAAGGGCTGAGAGTCAGCAAACATTAAGCCATGAATGAAAACTGCTGTTGTGATTATGAAACAAGGAGATTTCTCATTTTCTATTATTCTAAAAAACAACCCTCATCTACAGAACAGCAAATTTTCCCAAACCCCCAATTCTGAGCTCAGATTTCTTGCGATATGCCTGACCATGGAAATGTTTGCTCAAAGTAATGAACTGAGACATTTTTTTGCTTAATAGCAGTCATCAAACACTGACAGCACATCACCCCACAGCCCCGTGCACAAGCCTGAAGTTATGAAAAGGCCCCCTTGCCCCAGCCCTCCTACCACTCCTTCAAAAGGAGAGCAACCTACAGTATTCTGTCTTTCTCAGAGCAATGAAAAGAGGCATTGTCAGCGCTGAGGGGTTCTTTGTATAAACACCAACGGCTTGTTGCACTGTTGTGCAACTCATCATGAATCATACTTGGGCGACAGAGGCAGACGGTCACAATCAGAGACAGACAAGGAAAATGAAAGGAAAGAGGGCGAGGGAGGAAGAGAAACATAGAAAGAGAAGAGTGTTTCTGTGTGAATATCCACTAAAGTAATGTGAATCACAGTCCAGGGCCTGTCAGAGTTAACTGCTAAGTGTAATCTCACAGGTAACAGAGCACTGTGAACCCAGCTGTCAGGACTTCAGTTTCACTGCACACATTTTAATTTATTCAGCTGAGAAAAGGGAAATAGAAATATTGCTTGGCAGTTTGCTTCTCTGAGATTTGGGGCCGCTACTGTCACCAACTTAGATCCTTAAGTCAAACACCACATTGCCCCTCTCACTTAACTGAGGCGAATTATTGGCTGACTTTACATCCTGAGCTTCGGATATGAACCCATTTGCAGTCGTGTAGGACTGAGCTCTGCCTGCTGCCACCTACTGTAGTATTTGGACCCTGGTACTGGGACAATTATGTTCCATATTTTTGTTGTATTATGTAAGTTAGAAGGTATATCAGTTTTATGGGGTTAAAGTCACAGAGGTCATTCTTAGTAAACCTCTACTGTTTTTCCCTCTCCTTTTGACTTCTCAGGTCAGTTTGTAGTTTTTATCACTACAAAGCACCTATCAGGTAAATCAGATACTAGCACTAACATTATGCACATGCATTATAATTCTTATTCAGAGGTGTGTAAATGAAGTCTTGTCTGACAAGTTAAGCATGTCGAGTCATTACGCTCATGACACTCAGATATTTTGGAAGAAGGTCAGGTGGCTAACAGCCAGGCCAAAATACTCTGGAGTTGTAAACGCCCTTCATGTTGTTGTACGCCACAATGACTAGGGAGAGTTCCTCATACCTGGTGTCAACAAACGGTACGCTCAGTCCACACCTGTGGCTCGTACACACACTCACACACACCTCAGCCCATGGTTATTTGTTTGTCCGCATGTGGCTTTCACGGGTCCAATGTTCCCACATGACTGCGAGTGTAAAATGTGGATTTGTATGGCAGAGAAAAGAGAGCTTGTATTTGTGAAATAGCAAGCGCTTGCACGCCACAGCCCTGAGGGGGGAGAATGCCAAACTTGCGTGCCACAGTCTTGTTGAAATGTCTTTTCCCTATGTCTGGAGAACTGGGTCCATTTTCAGCTACAAAAAAATCTGTTCCTTTGCAATTTCCACGGCCCCTGCTATATTCATTTTTTTTTCTCGACAACACATTTCTGCAGTTGAATTTCCTCTTCTTTTTGGGATGAGGGAGTTTGGTGGTAGTGGGGGGGCTGTTTCTTTTTCCAGAGTCTACCAGGCACCGGAGTCAGGCTGCATATCTGATTTCACGCAAGGAAAATCCAAGACTTCAGCTGCTGTTGATTCGGGTGAAGGGGAGTCGGCCCACTAATTCCTACCGGACTCCCAAAAAGCCTTTGCGCTCTCTCGCTCGCTCGCTCTCTCTCTCGCTCTCTCTCTCTCTCTCTCTCTCTCTCTCTCTCTTCATCTCTCTCTGTCTGTGCTAACTTTAGGCTTCAGGGTGAAGCTAGGGAGGGGATGTGTGGCATGGGGACTTGATGGCTCTGACTGCTGTGGCCCACCACTGCACATGATCTCCAGTTAATTGGAGTCGGTGGAAACGTGTTGGCTAAACTGCGGTGGGGATCGACTCCTGTGTTCTGTCAGGGGAAACTGGACTGGACACTTATCACAACACCTTAATGGGCTTGTGCAGTATCAAGCTCTTGACTCTGAGCCAGGAGTAGCCTGCTACCACCTAAAAAACTCTATAGCACAGTAGCTCCCTCTGGAGGAGAGGGCTGAACAAACTATTTTGCAATTGAGAAGCAAAGTTCTGCAGTCTGCTTTTCTCCTTCTTAACCATGTTACATACCTTACTGCATCCCCACCCTCCCCCACCCAGTATAAGTACAGGCTTCACTGTTGTGGCTGTGGTAACCGTGGTGTATCTTTGGCAGAGAGGGTCTTCCTAACTGAGCCTAGTAGTAGCTGCCTGTAACCTCTGCGGCCCAAAACCACACATGATCTCCATTAGGCTCATCTGAAACGTGTTGACTAAATTGCAGGGACAGGAGAGGGGATGGACCCCAGAGGGCTAGCTGGCACAGCCTGCTGTCTGTGATGCTCCCAGTCTATGAAGCGGGTAGCTGGGAATCAGAGCTTTTATAGAGAACATAATGTTCCAGCCCTCTCTTTCCTCTTCTAGCTTTGAAGCATAGTGCAACGCACTTATTTAATTCTGAAACACCAAGGGTGGAGTCCTCCTCCTTTCTGCTTAGCTCAAGAAGTCCACTAGTCCACAGTCAAGCGTGTAACCCAGATATGACAGGAGGTTTGCCTTATTTGCGTATGGGAGAAACTGATTTTGGTTGTTAACATAAGGGCAAGTTTGAGGCGCCCATGTCTGTGTGTGTAATTGTGCGCAGAATAATGTGTGTGTGCGTGCGTGCATGCGTGCGTGTCCGCGTGTGGTGGGCTGGCAATGGGGAGATGCAAATCCAGGCGCTCACCTGTGAAATGTTTACTCAGGCTTGATGCAAACTGTGACGGCCAGCGCCCAGGGAATGGTGTCTCAGGCAAATAAGCGGAGGGAAAGGGAGAGAGAAAATCCCAGACTCATCCAGCTTCACGTAAAGACACACTGTGTTGTGCTGTCAAACTGTTTTCTAATCCTCTCCCTCATATCGTCCCTAAAGAAACTAACTCCTTAGAGAGCTTCTGTTTTATATACGGACTGGTTTGGGAGGTTTGAACAATGGATGTCATGAAGACGAGCAGTCATTGTTGATAACAGGGTGATGGTGACAAAGCAATACAAGGCCAGGGCAGAGCTGCTGCTGCGCAGGCCAAAGAATAGGAGACCCAAATGAACACAAATGATCTCCAGGTGTTTTTTTAAGCAGCAAGGCTTTAGGGCTGGAGCATCATGTCGAATGCAAATGATAATCACCTCTGTTCTGTGGCACCATGGTCAACAGCCCAAAAGCCTCATCCATGTTGGGCACTTTATCATGTGAGCACAGAGGATTTTGCATGTCCCCAACTTGTGACATGCAATACAAGCAAGGGTAAAGGAAGTCTGTGATTACAAAAAAAACAGATTTTCCTAATGCGTCGACAACCAGGGTGACATGAATAATATGTTTGCTTGTCGAGTAAATCCTTTACTCTGAGAGATATGACACTTCCTTGTAAAGCCACTGACGTGATGTTTGTGTTTTGCTGACCCTAGACCACGTATACTGTTATTGTAAGGACAAAGATATATGAATACATGTAGCATCATCATTTATTACACCTTTTTTTTTCTCTGCCACATTTTCTTTACAGTCTGGATGTCCTTGCATTTCAAGTTCAGGCTGTAATGTCTCAAAGAAATGCTTTTAATAGCCATCACTGTCAGCCACATTTTTCACACTATTGTGAATGTCTTGCTTTGCAGTGAATCTTGCCTCACACAAGCAGTAACATATGTAAATATGTAATTCCCCGGTCTCAATACTTGATGCTTCAGGCATTGTGTTATATCTGCCGAATTGTTGAAAAAAGAGCAAGATCAGTGAGCCAAACCTAAAAGTGTTTTTAGTCTTTCATTCTCTTTGTGTGGGTGTGTGTGGGTGTGTGTGTGTGTGTCCTCATCAGAGTGTGAGTGGGTGACTCAGCATGTCTGGTGTGGTGTAGTGGTTTCTGGGTAGGGGACGGAAAGAAGACTGAGGGGGCTGTTAGACAGCAGCAAAGATCCAAATCACCAAGAAACAAATAAAAGAAAAAAGTAGTGGGAGGGAAGCAAGAAGAAGAAGAAGGCGGCAGGCAGGGTGGTGGCGTCCTAGGAATGTTCTGGGGTGTAGTTAGGGCCCTACGGGCAAAACGAAACAGACTCCAAAATTGTCACAACGAATGGCACACCCTGGCATGTCTTGTGCTCGCCTTTCCCGCTTCTCCTCTTTATATTGTTGTATTGTATTGTCAGATTGTTTCAATTTTAAAGGCTGTCAGAGCTTCTACTAACTGCCGAGCTTTAAGTTAGGAAAAAATATTAAAAAGGCTTGAAAGAGTAGCCAAAAGCATAGTTACTCAGAAGTCTATGCATAGTAAAACAGAAGAAGGGCATTGTAATTTCTTACCTGGCCATGGTCGGAGGTCCTCCTCCACCTTGCATGTCTTCAGAGCGGGGGTGTCCATTTGATCCTGCCACAGGGCTGTTGTAACACACATATGAACAATAGGTGAACACTAGAATCTACTCCATTGGAAATAATTCAGTGGATGAATTGTGTTTGTGTAGGAGTGTAACATTTTTCTACTTTGTGGAACGAGGAGAAATGGGTGAGCTGCATATGTGTACAGGGTGAGGAAGTCACTGCCTGTGTCATAGAAATCTGAAGTATGAGCCAAAAAACTCCTCACGACAGACTTGTCAAAACTGTCTTGACTTCTGGAGATGTGTCTTCCTGTCACAGGTTGGCCTCTGCTGACAGAGCAGTGAAAACTGAGAAGAGGAGGGGTGGTTTTCTCACCAGAGTGAGACCAGTCCTGGAAAAACATGCTTGATGGGTGCATGGGAGATATTTTTGGGTCTTTCAGGCGAGACACTGGAGGGGCAGTGGAGACCTGTGAGGTGCAGGACACTCGCTAGCCTGTCCAGCCGAGCTGTCAGGAAGGGAAAGAGGGTCAAGGACCGACTGGCCCAATGCGTGGGACCCTGCTTCACACTCAATGGCCACACCGCAGGAGTGCTGACACAAACAGGGGCTGTTTGCTCTAGGTCTGAGAAGGTGCAGTTGTTACAAGACAACTTGCACGGAGCTTTGTGGACATGGGCAGTCTCTGCACATTAGTTGTACAGAAGTCTAGTCTACAGGGTTACCTATTGTTAAAAACATTTTTCCTCAAATGTATACATAAATATTTTCATCATAAACAGAAGACAGAAGCCTGCACATTATATAACCATGTCATGGTGCTGTACTTTTACTGACAGCAGCAGTCAGCCATGTGGTATCGCTATGACCCTCCGCTGTTGAGACACCGCAATATAGTAAACTCCTAACCTCCTGTAGTGGCAATTAGGAAGGAGAAGGATGCCAGAAGCAGAGAGGGGGGTGGCACTAGGCTGTTCACCTATAGCCACACTGAGCTCAGCATGTGTAAGATCTGTGCTTCCCCTGGAGCTCCTCCACTTCCTTTGCAAAGGCCCAAATCAGCACTCAGTCACTGAGAGGTCCTGCACTATGCCTCACAATGGCAAATTCTTAAACATAAATGGCCTTATTCAGAAAGGCTTCCAAGCAGCTGGTGCGATTCGCTCAAGAAAATAAACATTTCCTTCAAATATTTTGATTGGCCAGCAGACAACGTCAATACCAGAGGCACAGATTACCCCTGTTAATAAGAGCACCAACCCCCTGGGCGGAGCTGAGGAGTGTGGAAGGCAGGGGCTGAAGTGGGAAGAAGCGGCGACTGCGTCACAAATAAGAAGCTTTGGGGTAGTGCCAGTGTAGTTTTGGGGAAGACACAAATAAACACATGCGCTGCTTTTGAAGTGCATGTGTAGATGAAAGGGGTGGCTGAGACGATGTTTGAGCCAAAATGGCATCCATCCTCGTGACTCCGGATCCAGCAACGCCTCCGAGACATGTAATGCGCCTGCAGTAATGAAGCGTGTCATTGAGACACAGTGAATACCGGTCCTTGTGCTGGCTTCCTGTTTCGCTTAGGCCTTAGGCGTCGCAACGGGGAGAGAATGTGAGAGAGCAAGCAAGAGAGAAAGAAAGACGCCAGCAAGGGAAGGAGAGAGAAAGAGAGCGTGTTAGAGAGGGGAGGAACACGGCCTTGGCTCAGCTATGTGGGACATTTGATATGTCTTTTGAGCCCTCACTTATAACGTGAGCAAAAACAAACACATGGGCTGAAAAATCCTGTGTTCTCTTTGAGAGCTCGTCGTCCTCCCACCCTTCCCCTCTCCCCAGACTCAATAGAGACTGTTCATGGCACACATGTAGTTTCTGTAATTGCTGAAATGTAAAACTTAGCCTGACTCTGATGTGAAATTATAACTTACACAAACAGTCGAGTCTGGTAAGAAACAACTTGCTCTCACTTCTCTTTTTCTTTCATTTTTTTTTCACCAAGGAGGCAGATTCCATTTTTTTTTTTGTTGAAGAACAAAAACATTTTCAGTTTGAATTATTCATCTCAGGGTCACAAAAAGAGAAAAACCACAAGTGAGGCTTTAAGGCACCATAACAAATAAACTCCGTGGCGGCCATTGACATATTATGTAAATAGTGGAGTGCAGAAGTAAAACAGAGTGTCTAAAGGACTGATCCAGATTCCTGCTCGTTTTGGTTGTATTGGCCTCAGAGGGCCAGCTTCCTGCTTGGGTTTGGCAGAAATCAGCATGAAACCCAACTAGCGTGACGGCTATACTCAAAAGTCCACACCACAACTACCTGACGGTGCTAATTTCCTGTCTTGCTCTTGTTTCTAATTGGCTGATCATGTCATTCTGGATGTGTGAATTAGTGTGAGCCCCTCGGTTGCGGCACTAGCAGAGTGCCGCCTCGAACCTGGGGGGGCCGGCCAACTTGTTTATGTGGAGTAAACAGTGTGGTCACTGTGGACGAGGCAGGAGGGACATGGCTGCATTGGGCTGGTTCTCCATCAAACAGGACTTTCTCAAGTTAAGTCCAGCCCAAAGGCCATAGCCTGAACATACTGAACAAGAGGGCCAAAGCACAGCTGCAGCAGATGTGTGCCAGTTGTGCAAGAGGAAGCCAGAGGTATCAACATTTATAATAGTGTCATAAATAGAATTTATAAAAAATAGAATTAGCAGGATGGATGCTGAGTACTTTAAAACGTCTGTAACATATTATTTCCGCAAGATTCTACTGATATTTTCAATAATATCACCACACGCTCCTACAGACAGGCACACACTCACATTCAAACTTGTACACACACACACACACACACACACACACACACACACATACACTATTGGGCCCTCATCAAAGCAATGAGCACTTGACTTGATGGCGGAACGTTATGCTAGTATCTCATATTCATCTTGAGAGAGGAACACACAGGTGTTGGAACAAGTAACATGTTAAATGATACCACCTCAAAAGTGCCAGGACTTTTTTTGGGATGATTAAATTGCTGCTGTATTTCTTTTTCCCCCTCTCTTACTGTTAAAACACATTTAAGTTAAAAGAGCCGCTTTCTTCTCGGCTGTCTGTTAGAGGCTGTGCCAGGGGCTTGTTGAGTTTTGTCTGCATTTAAAATGGAACAAGGTAAAACTGGAATCTGTTTTCTACTTTGCACAATCAGATTTTCTATCGTGTGTATGCTTTACTTAAGAGTGGAAAGAACTGTGTATCTATTATAAATGCAATGTCACGGTTAGATGTTAAAGGATAAACTAAATTCAGTGTCAGAGGAAGAGAAAAAACTGCCACCCACAGACACATATAGTATACACATGTACCTCACTTGAGGTTTTGAAAACCAGAATAACAATTTAGCACTTGATTGTCTGAGTGTCAGATTTGCTTGACTGCACTAGTTGAACAACGCATTTTCAACCACACACACACACACTGTCCCTCCGCCCTTGCTGAGAATCATTCCACATGTCTACCAGGCTTACCTGTGGCCACAGAAGAACAAAAACAAGCAGCGAATGCAGCGTCTGCCAGCGTGCAGGAAGCCTGTCACTGCATGCACTGTAATGAGCTCTTAATTACCCTGTCTGTCTGGGGCACTAGCATAGAGAACTTGCAACACTAGCACAGAATTGTGAAGGTGTGTGTATGTATTGTGTTTTCAATGTGCCTATGGTGCAATCGTCTGCATGTGTGTGTGTGTTTGTGTGATTTAAGAATCCAGGGTAGCATTGAGCAGATGTCTGGAGACACGTCCTGTTGACAAGAAAACTGAGACAGTATTTCATAGCTCAGACAACAAAATGAAGCAAGGAGGCTTTAGGAGGAGATGACACTGTATTTTCTTATTTAGTCGTCTTCAAGGGGAAAATGCAAGGTTCCAGCTGCAGAAAATGGAAAACATCTTTTGTAACAGCAAGACGGGAATCCATTTAATTATAACGTGTTGATGGGCCATCTATCACCCGGCAATTCTCAAACAAACAGGGCCCGGGATTTAAAGTATCTGCAAAATACAACAGTGTCTGGCAGGGCCGCCAAAAGCTGAGACGTGTGTGCTGTTGATATGTAAACACCTCCCTGTGTATCTGAATGGGATTTATTACAACATGTCTATTTATGTTTGAGCTTCGCTTGTAATACTGTAGTGTTGTTGTTTGCGCATGATTCCGACACATACGGGAGCGCTCTGTGTGATGTGTGCCGCGACATACATTTCCAGTCTGCTGCTCATACACTCCAACAGATAGACAAAGTGGGAGGGAGAAGGGCTCTCTGTTCTGTTATTTAATTATTTTACCACTCTTGTCCTGCGGTATGCCGTCATGATGGTAATACCATAGATTAAGGTGTGTGGTTTTTACAGCCCTTCCCCTCGTCTGTCTCACTCACACTTCTTATAGACGGCCTCCAGTCACCGGCAGCTGTAACGTAAAGCTCAAGGCCTTTCTGACAGTTCCAACTGATGTTAATGTGTTGTGTCTGCTCACTGTGTATGTACTGTACATGTGTGTGTTGCACCATCACAGCCCTTTGAAGCCTGACAAGCCTATGACTTTCCTATAATACTAGCCTTAATCCTGTGCAAGGCAGATGAGAGCACAGCAAGAGCTGCTCTTCGTCTGCTGTCTGGACCAAGTCTGTACACCTCTCCCTGCCCCCCCCCATTCAAGTCAGTATAAGCTTAGCTGCAGGGGGCTTTTTATTGGCAGACAACCTACAGAGCTCATGCCAGCCTCTAAACCATCAGAAAATTATAATCACAGTGGCTGTATTGTGTTGAAGCTCCACAGTGTTTATTTTCAGCATAACCAGTCAGTGGTGTTCCTAAAATGGCTGACATGGTTTCTCCTTGGTACAGGCTGTGCGAGGGAACAAATCAATATCAGCAGTAAGGACACAGGGATGCAGGGTGAAAGACCCTGTGTTCCCCACAGTCAGCTGTTAGATAGGCCCATACTGGTGACTCAGTGCTGGCGAAGCTACGCACAAGGCCAAACACCGGTGTATGGCTGTGATACACACTGATAGAGTTCCACCCACACATGGCCGAGAGCTTCCAAACAAGCCCTCCTGTACACAGCAACATGCTGATACAAAGGTAATGAGATTCATTAGCCAGCATGAGAACTAGAGAGTGGGTGGAAGAAGAGGGCACACTATATATATATATATATATATATATGTGTGTGTGTGTGTGTGTTTAGTCTGCATGCTTCCAGACATGGCATCCTGTTAAAGACGCTCTGACATGTGACGGAGAGTGAACACTCATCCTCACTCCAACCATCACCCACGCAGCTGTCCACAGCGCACACACATATGCATGAAACAACCCCCTCCCCTCCATCACACCACCTCAGTCTGAGTCTCAGGCCCCCTCCCCACCACCAACACCACCACCTCCCGCCCCCGCACATTTGACCAGTCTGAGAGTGACGTGATTGCCAAGGTAGCGGGCGGCTGTTACATTCCTGAGGCTGTAGTGTGCGGTGTGCGGAGGCCAGCTTCAGCACCCAGGCCAAGCTCGGTTGGCAGCACCCGCCGTGCCACCTGGCCACAGACTCAACCCTGCACGCTGTGGGGTCCGGACTCACCAACGCAGGGCATCCGGGGACAGAACTGACATGAGCTTCCCCTCGGACAGCCAACACATATACCAGCTCCCAGATTAGTTAGCAGAAGTCCAAAGTCCCCCGTGGAGGAAATGCACATGAAGGGCTTTTGGCTTAGTTCAATGCTGGGTGAACCGCATGTACTGTGTTGATGTGTAACAGATTTGTGTTACGGATTACTTACCCTCTGGTCAAATAAAACTAAATATGTTTGTTTTATTAAAGGAGTTATTTACTTCTAAGTATTGGCAGTTAATGTGAGCTGATTTTACACTGTTGTGGTGATTTTGGTGATGAGGATGTTGCTTGCTTGTGGTTGTATGTATCAGTGGTCCTCACCTTGTGCGCTGAGGTGGGTTTGGTGGATGGGACGGGGATTATTGTTCACTGGGCCTATTCGCATATTCCGCTGGTAGCGCTCGATCTCTGACAGCCTGTCCGAGAACTGCATCTTCTGGGGGTCTTCTATCTTCACTCTGTGCCCTGAAACAGCGACATGAGGAGGACGGGTAAGAGAGAAATCAAGGACTTGCCAATTTACCACCTACGCAACCAGGAAAATGGCACAAAATGGCACTTTAAATTTCCAGTTGTACAAAAATAGCAAAAACAATAACTAGAGTCCTATTGGAAAACCTTTCCTTCTTCCAGATTTCTAAATGGAGCCGGGCAGTTTGACATGTCCTGGCAAAAAAAAAAAAAATCTCTTTGCCTGTCTAAACTGTAATTAGTGTAAAATTGACTTGGACTGTGAAGACCATCAATATTCTCCATTGTAATTCACAAACACTCAGACATGAAATATAAGCGGGGGGGGGGGGGCTGTTACCATGTTTTTCAGCTCAAAATACAAAAATATTATTTGACTGTTAGCAGACCTTGAAATTGGCTAGACACTAAGTGTTACCCAAGCTGCACCTGCTGCCGCGTCATCTGCAGATAACGATAGCATAAGTGGATGAAAATGATTGCTTGAGTAATGCTGTTTTCCCTGAACCTTAAGTATATAAACTAAATAATAAACTCCAAATTGTAACATTTCTATGAACTAAAGACGTTAAGTGATCTTTATCTTGCCACATTTGCCTAAATCAAGAAATAGTGAGAAGATCTGTACCCAATAAACACCCCTCTCACACACACCCACACACACATACATTCAAATCTGACTAACGCAGCACTTAGTCAGAAGGAAACACCCAGACAAGGCTACCAGACCATAAAGTCATCAGTCTTAAACATTTAAAAAAAAAAGAGAAAGACAGAAGGAGAGCTTTTGTAGGTCTGAGTGTGTGTTTTTTTTATTTGCACAGGAGGTGAGAATTAACTCAGAGTAAGTGAAGCAAGTCTGCTGCCTCTCTTTTATTCAGACCTGGACAGCTAACCAACACACTTAGTGCCCTTATCGCTTTGATGTCCCATTCAGGGAGATGGTAAAGAAAAAAAAATCTCTGATCATGCCTTTTATGTAGACACACACGTACAAATACACATGTTCACGCACACTCACACACATACGTGCACATGCTCTACATGTGAACACACCTTAAATTTCAGACGTCAGTCCGGATGAGGGCTATTCCTCTAATGGGAGGAAGAGATTTTAATGTAACTATCAATGCACCAAAACTGTGTGCGAACCAGCATGTATACATTCTGTGGTTTTCTCCCTGGCATCTCTACAGAGTAGCCTAATGTGAAGTAATGGCTGGATTTGAATATTTTATCACTATATAAAGGGGGCAAGGCAGACGGACCAATATGGATTTTGCCCGTCCTTTCTCTCCACTGACCCATGGGCAATATATCTTCCCTCGGAGGCTGACCCATGGGTAAAGTTTCCTCTCGTTTACCGCTCTGTCCATTTGTTTGTGCCCACCACCTCCCCTCCATCCCCTCCTTACAAACGATAGAAATATCTAGCAGTGACGGCCCCCAACACACGCAGATACAGATACACAAAAGGTACACAGGCGCACACTGATGCAATGTCTGAACGCAGGCAGGCACTGAAATCAAAAGTGCAGCACAGAAAACGTTGGTACTTTTTTTACTCACACCCACTCATCAACAGTTACGTTGCACTGAGTGAGTGTGTGAGAAAGAGAAAGACTCAGTCATGACTAATCTGTCTGAGCAAAGACAGCAGTTCTGTTGCTGCTCCCCAGCTGTTTTCCCGAGCATTAGGATGTTAGACGCCAAAGGAAAGGACTGTGAGTGTGTGTGTGTTTCCACCGACTGGCCCACCAGTTTGCTCCGTGCCGTTACTCAGGAACATATTCTGGGCGGACACCAGTCGGCACACACACTCTGTGATATCTTTTTATTCACACTCATATGTGGTCCGTCTGCCTTCTCTTTAAACTGTGATGGAAGGAATGAAGGCCAGCGTTCTCTCTCTCTCTCTGTCTGTCTCGCTCTCTCTTGCTCTCACACACACACAGTGCCAGGTCCAGGCTCCATCACCCACATAGACACTGTGGCTACTGTCTGTTCCAGGCCAGAGCAGGGGCGGCCAGGGGAAGCAGCCCTCCAAATATAGCCCCTATATGTGTCCTTGTGTAGTTATTAAGAGATTTACACCACCTCAAACGGCTGAGGTCAGGGAAATGATACATCCCACCGCTCACTGGTTGGAAAAAAACAGACAGACAGCAGGGAAAAAAATGATAATTAGTCAGTTTTTCTGTGGCCAATGGTGGTCTAAGATGAATTGGCTGGCTCTTTAGGGATGAAAGTGATCATTCAGCTGCCCACACACACACACACACACACACACACTTGAGCTGAGCTGTGGATCCCGTGGCCCAATTCCAGTTGGCAGGGACACAGTGTGTTTGGCGACACACTGTTCAAAGCTTCCAGTAGGGGGGTTTAGTGGACTGCGAGAGGGTGATTTCTGGGGGGAGCGGAGGCTTCATTAAAATGAGGCCTGGAGCTCATTTACCCGGGGCCCACAGTTGCTGTTAACACCGCTAATCAACAGGGAGGCGGCTTGAAACTTTCTTTTCCTCTTCTTCTTTGTTTTTTTCTCAGCCTTTGTCTCATGGAAACTAAGCCTATCTGGAGGGCAGCACACTCAGACTTCCTCTCATCTTTTTTAAGACACTTTATTTGCATCCATCTGAATTTTGCTAAGCACTTTTGTCTTTTTTGTGGCTACCATAGGGATTCTGTAAGACTCTGTATGTGCATCACGTGATATATAAGTTCAAAGGCCTGCTGTGCAAAACTATACTGAATAAAAGAGGAATAATTTGATTACTATTTTGTCCCTTTAAAAAAAAAATGAAAATGACTGTTGAGTCTCAGTTTCACTTGGACTTGGGAGTTCTTTGATTATGAGTTAACATATGCCTCTACTGTATGATTTAAAGTGAAAAATCATCCTTTAAACTTTTATCTCTGTATTTCTTGCCTTGCTGACAAAAGATTATTATTATTATAGTTATTCAATGTAGAAAAGTTTTTATAACTGTTGTCTAAATCATTACAGTCTCTGCAAGATAGCAACAAAGACACTCAACCTGTATCTTCAATTTAAACCTTGTGTTAATGCGCTCCCTTTGGCCAGTTGACCCTTCCTATAGCCACAGTGTGCCTGCTCCAACCGCCAACATTTGACTTCTACTCTGCAGGTCCGGGGGCCAGAGGGGTGCCACTGTTCCACACCGGCCCCATTTCAGAGGGGTTTCTGTGGTCGGATGAATATTTAATGTGTCAGGGTGCACTTAGGAGAGAATGCCCTTGTTTTTCTCTCTATGATATCATAACCACAAGATAGAGCTGGGAGATGGGGGCCAATGCACACATGAGGCCTAAACAGCAGCGCTCAATACGCACCCAGAACCGAAATGGATGCTAAAGGTTGTGGATTTACTAGCCTCCTCTCAGAGTAGCGGTCGCATCATCTGAAAGCATTATTGAAGTCTATGAAGAACAAATAAAATGCTTGATATAAAATGTCTGGCATTAACAATGTACTGAAAGGCTGTGTTTTGAAGAAATGGGTGTGTTGTTCTCAGCCCTGCTTAGTTTTGTTTGTGTATGTGTGTCTTTTTATTTCCTGATAGTATTTTATCTCCACTGCACAATCACTTGAGATGCTGCTTTGCTCTTTTGCACTCGTGCTTTGAAGCTCATGGAGATGGATTCAAATGTATGCAATGTGAGAACTGTGAAGTTATTTTTCATAGATTGCACCCAGTGCTCTTAAGATCAGACCACATGAACAGCAAATTCCACCGAGTCTTGCCCAGCCTTCCCTCCACAAAGACAGCTCATATCAGCTCAACACAGACAGTGTTTGCTCAGTAAGGTGACAGCCAGGCCTTAAACGCCAGTGTCACAGCTGAGTGATCACCCAATATGACCTGTTTCCTTCCTTCATCCCCCACTTTTTCTCTACTTCTCCCCTCTGTCTCTGTCTGTTTGTCTCTGTCTGCATTGAAAGAAAGAAACATATGTTCCCGTCCAAAGGGAGACACATTAAACACAAGCTCTTTTTAGTAAAGGGCTGGGCGCTTTTTCAGGCGCAAAGTGAAACTCTATCTGGACGGCAAAGGGCAATACGTGCTTTGGCCCTGGCCCAAGTCTGCACTGAATATATTTGAAGTGTAAATATTTGTATTTGACGTATAAATGGACATGATAGGCCTCTGATAACAGACTAGAATTGATTTGGAGTGCAGGTATCACACATAACACTGAAATCTATGTCTGGATTGTAAAGTCTATGTCTAAGTATTGCTATAGGATTACATACAAAAATGTCTGTGCAGTGTAAGAAGCATGTGTGAGTCTCATATGAAGGCTACTGTGATAGCAGCTGTCTGTGATATTTTATCATGTTTGAATGAGATTCTTTTTTGTGTTGATGAGTCAAGTCAATAGTACCACAACTTATAATGCATCTAGCTTTCCTCTTAGGTAAGGTATACCCATGCTTTATGTGTTCATGTATCGAAAGTAAAGTCTTGAAAAGATGTGAACACAAGAGCAGCGTCCTTATCTAACTTTTGAAACCCCACAGTGCAATGTGGGGCGACAGTTGAGCGTATGTTGCAGGGAGGCCTACTTGCCTGCGAGCAAACTTCCGTTTACCCTCAACAGGCACTGGGGATGTTTCAACATCTGTTGAGCAAAGTGTTGTACACCTGTCTTCCTCTTCCTCCTCTCTAGCAGACCTGAACCCCCTACATTTTCGTTCCCACCCTCCTCCTTTCCGCCCCTCTTTCTTATACTTCCCTTTTCGTTCTATTACTGGCACCACAGCGCAGCTCAAAAAGCATCTCTGCAGCAGTGTATTTGGCACCGTGTCTCCCAAGGCCACCAATCACACAGTTGGGTATTTACAGTGGGACGAATCAAAGTTCTTGTTTTGAGGCTGACCCTGAAGGATGTGGGTTTTACCCTTGGCTGGTGATTGTGGCTGTCTCGTCTGGGCCTAAATGAGTCGATGCTAGCCACACACAGACATTACG